AAACCCCCCCCCCCCCCCCCCCCCAAATAAAAGAATATGCAAGTAAAAGTAATGATGTATTTTTTTTTTTCTTTCAATGACAAATTTAGAGTGGCATTATCAAAATATTGGAGTGCCAATATTGATTCCCAAAAATTATAAACATATCCTCCCTGCACTATGGTCAAATGAGTTTCTGGTTGTAGAGTATTAAACACTTAAGAACCTATCCTATTGTTCTCATCTCATACTTCCAAACGCTCCTAATTAAAGTCATATATATCTTCGAGTAATTGCGGAAGCCGTAAGTCCTATCTAATCACCCTCCTCCAACTATTCTTATAGTTCTTAGGTTTACCCCTCCTAATGCAAACCATTTCAAAGTCCAAGTGAACATCCCCAAAAATGCCAAAATAGTTTAGAGGGACTATCAACTACATTGCCAGTTTGACATGCATAACAGGAATTTGTAGTTAGAAAAAAAATTAGGAAATTGTTAGCCCCACGCGCCCAGAACCGCAAAGGCATGGCCCCAGAAGGCGGCCTAGAACTCCGGGACAACATTCAACTGATTCAAATGCAATATAAGTTATGCTAGAAATCAACCGCGGTTGACACCACCGTTGACAACTGTATGTGAACTCTGTATTTTCACTAACGTCCACAGATGATTATCATCTATGCATGTACAAATATAAAGAGGGTGTCGTCTATGTTGTTAACATCTTTGTGTTACCCTAGCATTTTTTAATGCAATAGAGTCCCTAGAGTTTAGTTGATCGTGGATAATGACACAACAAATTTGTCATTGAGACAAAAATACCCCACATAAAAGAATATGCAAGTAAAAGTAATGATGGATACTATTGTCTTCCAATGACAGATTTAGAGTGACATTATCAAAATTGGAGTGCCAATGTTGGTTCCCAGAATCTATAAACATATCCTGCACAGCTGCACTATGTTCATATGACTATATGAGTTTCTATTTGAAGAGCATAAAACCCTCAAAAGGAACTCCCTCCCCAGACCCCATAGCTTGACCATACAACCCAGGGTTTGTTCCATTTATAAAAAAACTATGCAAATTGGAAGTAAACAAGCCATAATTGTAGCATTCATTTTCAACATATTAAACCCAGATCAGAAACAAACCCAATAAGCATTTCAGAAAATAATTGTACACAGGTGACTATTTTCCTGTGGGGCACACCCCAAAACAGCATATTTTTGAAAAAAAAACAAAGAAATGTGAACGGAGATCATGGTATGAAGTGAGAACACAGAGAGGTCAAGAAACTGTGCTTCTTTTTTAACTCTTAGTTTACATAAAAATGAAAGGGCAATCACAAGTGCATATAGTTAAAAGAACTCCTAACATTCAGTTTGCAAACCATGTGTGTTTTCACTTTACATAATGTTTCCATATTATGGTTTAAACACTTTTTTGTGACTCTTTATGCACAAGTCACTGGATGCAGGGAGGGGCAGTGGAGCAAACTTAAAAAGGAATATGTAAACCTAGTTACACAAAAGAGCTGATAATAATTCTTTAGACAGATAGGTAATCAAACTCAACTCTCCTCAAGAATATAATTTGTTCAAAAGCAACAAACAAACAAAGGAAGATTAAACTTAATGATTTGGTCCACAAGATAAATGATAAGGTCAAAACAATTACCTCTTAAAAGAGTAAGGTCAAAACCTGAACTTTCCAACTAAGGCGATGGAGCTTTGGTTTTTTTCAGTCTCTTCATTGCAGGGGAGATGGTATTCATCTTTTTACCTTTCTTTTTCAGCTTCCTCTTCTTCTTTGCAAGAGGCATCTCTCTAATTGGGCCCGGAGGCACACCTTTCTTAAGAGCACTGCCCCGTGGGGTTGAAGAGGGGGGCAATCTCAAACTTTGCGGAGGCATTGGGCTGTGTGGTTTCCACACCAAGTTATTCTTCATAGCAAACCTAACCTTCTTTGCACTCTTCTCTTCACTCTTTCCAGCACTAACTACAGAATCTCCTGCATTGTGTGCGTCAGCAATACATGACTCAATGCTTTTGACACTTTTACCCCTCTTTCTTTTCTTTTTAATGGTAGTGTTAGGTTTATCGGCTTCATTGCCTGGACTAATTTCTGCAGCTACTTTCTCGAACTCCATCCGTAGATTTGAAATAACAGACTCAGATAAGCTATCACTATCAACAGATATCCCATTTTCAGCCACTGTTTTTTCTATGTTCTCCCCATGAGAGGCATTTTCAGAACGGTCACATTTGTTTTTTCCTTCTTTTGACATTTCCTCCTCCCCATCTAGTGCAACACCGTTTTCCTTTTTGTTTTTTTTCTTTTTACCATTTTCATTGCTTCCATCCTGCATCATCTTAGCCTTCTTGCATCTCCTAAAACTCTCATCAATGTGGCATTCAGATGCATCATCCTCTTTTGTCACGCCATTCACGATTGGAACCAATTCAGGAATCTCCTCTTCATCCACAGAAACCTCAGGAAGCACAATGTCAACCCCTGATGTTCGATATCGTTTCTCTAATTTCAAGAATTCCTCGTGCAACTTGAAGACTGTTTTCCTATTTCCCTGGAGGCAATCTAAAGATGACCCGATCTCAAAGAATTTTCCCGAAAACCCCATTTTCATTGCAATCAACCCAAGAGCAACCACTGCATAGCTTTCATTTTCCTCAACCCCTTTCCTCTTCTTCTCCAATAAACTCCCCCCAATCTTTAACAGCTCATCAAACACACAACTCTTCACTTTCACAACCATCACCCTATCCTCGGACTTCTTCATAACTTCAAACAATGGCTTGAACAAAAGCCCAACCACATCATCAGTAACATGAACATTACAGCCATTCAACTCATCAAGCCAAACAGAAGCAATGTGATAACACACCCCATTACCTAACAGCTTATCTTCAGCTAAAAATGCACTATTGATGAAAATAGCAACAACTTTATTTAGAAGCTCGACATTCCAGCTATGTTTCTTGCACAAATCGAAAACCGCATGAACAAATTTCCTGACAAGCAAGTAAAACTTGTCGAGCCTCAACCGGTCAATCCCGACCCATTCACGCTTCAAAGTGATGAGAAAAAAAGAGAAATATTTCAGAGCAAGAGAGAGGTCGAGATTCAGTACGAGTGAAGAAGTGCGATTGATGAGATGGGATTGAGCCGGAGCCTTATCTGAATGCCAGAGGCAATAGAAGAGTCCCTTCCAGAACTTCTTCATATCGTCGTCGGAGATGTCGGACTGATTCAGAAGCCATCCCTCGAGCAGCCGCAGAGATCTGGATCGGACGGGAGCGCTGCAGGAGGCCAAGTATTTTATGAGGGCCGGACCGGGAGCTATGGCGTCGACGATGAGCTGCTTCTTCATTGCTATCGATCGCCCTGGATTGTTTGGATTGAAGATGATTTTCGAAATAAGGCAAAGGGAAGAGCAGAAACCCTAGGATGATATTTGGCCCACCTGCCAATTTAAGAGAAAGAGGGGGTCCGTAATTTGCGTCACACCACCCACCACATTTGCGTTGTACTTGTACTCCGTAATTTTTAAATTTAGTTTAAAAAAATATTTACATTTACTTGTTTTAAATTTATTAAAAAAATATTTTTATTAATTTAGTTAAATGTAAATAGTTTGTTAAATTTGGTATAGTACGTTTAAGTTTTAAAAAAATGGCGGATTTAACTTTTTATTTAATTTTGATGAAATATTGCAAAAATTGCTTTTAATTTTTGGGTTTATTATTACTCTAGTGTTATAAGCGTTGCTATTTTATGTTCTTATTTTTTTATTTTCAACATTTTCCAATATAAGGATTAAATACTCCGTATCATTCAATTATTTACATATACAAGTATAAGAAATAAAATTGAGAAAAGATAATCTTCCAGTTTTTTTACAACAATTCAATTAAGGGTATGTTTGGGAATAACGTTATCGATTAGCGTTAACGTTATGAAAAAGTTATCGATCTACGGACAGCGTTTAGCGTTAGCCTTTTCAAAATAATGTGTACCCTTAAAATTTTATCCAAAACGCTAACGCTAATCTCTGACGCTATATTTCCAAATATTTATTTTTTTACATTTGTTTGTGTTTATAATTAAATAAGGGTGGGGTGGGTTTTTTTTTTTTTGAATTAGAGAGCATTGGAACAAAACAAAAAGGACATGTAGAACTCAGCCATAGGCGAATAGAATATAGGGCTGGGTTGGGAAAACAGAAAATCGAAAACCGAACCGAAATCGATCGAAACGAGCTAGAAAAAAACCGAACCGAAAAAATCGAAAACGAATGTAAAAAAACTTTCCTTTATGTGACTAGGTTTTAGTGGATGGGGTATAAGAAGGGGTAATGGAGAGTAACGACTTTTTACATAGGAGTTTTTTCCCAGAGAGTGAGGGTGATGAAGAGCAACTGTTACTCTTCTTTACTCATCTTTGCTCCTCATTTCATATCATCCATGAAGGGGTGTAAGCAAGAGTAGAGGTAAGGGATGAGTTTCGGGGCTATCTCAAGCTCAAACAGAAAGAGATGACCTTAGAACAATTGCTTGTTCGTTTCCGAATCCATGAAGAGGGTCTGGCCTGCGAGAAAAAAAGTAACTGTTGCTAAGGCTAATGTTGTGGAGCATCCCCTCGAGGAGGGCTCTTCCAAATGGCCCGAGAAGGATAAGCAAAAGCTTGGTTCTAAAGTAGGCGTCGCGAAGACTAAGTTCGCACTGAAATGCTAAAACTGCAGGCCATCATTTTTCAGAGTGCCGTAAAAAGCCTAAGAAGAAAAAGACAATGAAGGAAGAGGTCCAGAGATTTGGATTCGACGAGAGTGCTCAGGAGGCCTATTTTATGAGGTCCAAATCGAGAGCGATGGCGTCAAGGATGAGAGTTTCAGGTTTGGGTTTGAACTCTTAGGATCGCTTCTTCATTGTGATCGATCGACAAAATGGGAGATTGAAGAAGATTTTTCACTGGAGAAGAATTGAGACAAAGGGATAGCAAAAACTCTAGGGTCCGATTCTTCTTTAGTCCATAATATTTGGCCCACTACCCATTAAGAATTTTAATTACTCTGAGGTACGAAGTACTTTGGAAAAACACTCATTTGCCATTTTATTTTCTCAAAATTTCTCAATTCTAATTTTTCTATGTTTGATGTCATAAATAATAAAAAAGTTTCAAAATAGAGTTTTTATCAACAAAGAAAAAATTTGGTTTATTTAAGAAGAATTTATATTATCAAAAATTAAAAATATTAGATCAAATATCCATTTTCCAGATTGAATCAGACCAAATCATGGACAGATTTTTCGAGTCCGATAATTTTGAACACCAGTGGTAGTGGTAGGGTCAATCGCGACATAGGGTTTGAGAGGAAGGAGGAGGCATGGGGTGGGTTGTGGTGAAGAATAAATACCGATTAATATAAATTCTTCTTAAATAAACCAATTTTTTTTGTTGATAGAAACTTTATCTTGAGAAGTTTTTTATTGTTTATGACATCAAACATAAAAAAATTAGAATTGAGAAATTAAAATGGCAAATGAGTAATTATAATTCTTAATCGAAGGTGGGCCAAATATTCTGGTTTAGAGAAGAACCGAGCCCAAGGGTTTTTGCTATCGCTTTGCCTACATTCTTCTCCGGTAGGAAATCATATTCCATCCCCAGTTTAGCCGATCAATCGCAATGAAGAAGCGATCTGGAGAGTTCATACCCAAACATGAAACTCATCCTTGACACCATCGCTCTCGGTCCAACCCTCATAAAATACTTGGCCTCCTGCAGCTGCTCGAGGGATGGCTTCCGAATCAGTCTGATATCTCCGACAACGACATGAGGCTTTTTACGGATATTCGGATATCTGATTATCTGAAGTATTTTTTTAAAAAAATGTTTTATTTTTACCCACTAACCCTAATTCTCGTCCAATCCGCCGCTTCAGAATTCATTCTTTTATGTTTCAGACTTCATTCGGACATAGTGACTAGGGTTGTGAACGAATCGAATCGAATATTCATGAATAATATTCGTAGTCGTTAAGATAAAGTGATTCAATTTTGAATTCGGTTTGAATATTTTTTAAGATTCATATTCGGTTTGTTTAATATATTAAACATATTCGATTCGTTTAAAAATTTGGTTCGTTTAAATATATTTGATTCGTTTAGATTTTAAAATATTTCATAACCATTTAATCTATTTATTAGCTATTATTTGTCTATATATATATAAAATAAATTTATATCCCAAATATATTTCTTAAACTCACTAATCGAATACTCTTGATTCATATTCGTATTCGAAAAGGATTCGAATATTTATTCAGATTCATATTCGTATTCGGATATGAAAAAATCGAATACGAATTACCTCATACGAATACGAATCACGAATCGAACAAAAAGTATTCGATTCATTTAGAACCCTAACAGTGATGCAGGCGGCAATTTTAACGAGTAATGACAATCGTTCAGACTTCATTCCTTTACGACAAATTTCAAACTACATTCATTCATTTCTCTTGGCTAAATCGTAGAGATGCATACGAGGAAATTTTTGGTCTCTCAACTCAGCGACTTCGAGCAATATCAAAGATGGACACAACCACATCTGCTTTTACCAAACCTATGTTGAATTTGGTAGCAACTTTGGATTAATTTTTGCCATTTTACCCTTTTTGTAAATCTTGTCTAAAAAGTTGAACCTTTTCGGATATTCCATTAATCTGATCCAAAAATTTTGATATCCAAATTTTAGAGATCCGAATATCTGCGGATCGTGTATGGAATGAGTTTTACTTGATCCGGAACTTTCAAAGATCCCTATATTACGGATCGTATTGATCCAATTGAACACTCCTAACACCCTCACCTCTAACCTCTCTCCTCCATTTGCCACCTTCTACCCTACCACCATCGTACACCAGCGCCCCGTCCACCTCCATAATATCATCCCTACCCTCCTCCCCCCATCACCATTAACGCGTATTTTTACATTATACATTTATTAAACTATTATTTTAGCATTAAAAAACTAGGGCTTCTATTTTAATACTTTTGTATTTTTAATTCGTATTTAGATAGATTTCTTTATTCCAATAATAGAAGAGAAAGAGTTGTGGAAAAATAAAATCATACGTACTCTGTACTAATGAGCCACAAAGGTAGATAGAGCCACCCACAAACTCAAAAAATCCACCTCTAACAATACTCGTTCCCTTCTAAACATTTCTTCTCACTTCTCTTTTTAGAATGATCTAAAACTACCTTTGTGTCCCTCTCCTTCATGTTCCTCTCCAACTAAACAGACCGTAAAGAGGCTGTTTGGTACATTCTAAGTCTAATAAAATATAAGTTTTAAAATCTGAAAGAAATGATGTTTTTTGAAATATGAAATGAAGTAGTGTGGAGAGATCTAAATCTTATTTAATTAATGAAAGGCGGGTGACCGACAACGTGGTTGGCTAACGGTGACAATGATATTGGGTGGCGGAAAATGGTCAACGATTGGGAGAGGTGTGAAACTCCTGTATTGATATCTCATAAATTCGGGAGATATGGAATCCACCATTTGAAGGATCAATGATATGTGGATATATCAAACTCGATATCTCTTTTGCCTTCACCAAACACTAAAAGAGGGTTCTGAAATTTCCAAATATCAGAATCCATATCTTTTTTTTCTTGGAGGGAGTGATGATGAAGGTTCTGATGATGTTGCAGAGGAGTATTCAGATGCTGGTTTTGATTATGATGTTTCTGATATTGAGAAGGATGCAAGGAATATTGACAGAGAAAGGGAACGAGCCGAGGATGAAGCAAGAACAAGAATTGCAGCTTAATATTAGTAGAGTAGAGCCAGAGGAGTTCAGACTTCCTACCAGTGAGGTATACATCAATATCACTTTTAGTTTAAATGTTTAGGGTCCGTTTGGTACACGGAATTGATGGAATTGGAATTAAAATTCCATGGGATTCAATTCCATAGAATTGAATTCATCAATTCCATGTCATTTTTTGCACTACCAATGTCAAATCCGCATAATTTTTGTGCTACCAAACACGAGAATTTGAATTCAAGTCCTCAATTCCAATTCCATAGTTTGAATTACGTGTACCAAACGAGCCCTTGATATTTTTATTACTGCCGCTGTCACCCAGAAAGAACTTGAAGTTGCGGTTTATGATGCTTACTAAAATTTATTTTGTGTTCAATTCATTCCAATATTGGTTTAAAATTTAAAAGTAAAATCTATACTATATTTAAGAAATATATCAAATGTTTTGCAAAAGTAGAGGTGATTTGACTATGTTCTTTTTAACAAAAGATTAACCAAATATGTAATGGTTTGACCATATGAACAGTCTAACATAAAGATCTTTTGACACGAGGGAGTAATAATACTCTCTCTCTCTCCAAAAAAAATCCTGTAATAATACTCTCTCTCTCTCCAAAAAAAATTCTATTTTCCTGCATGGAATGCTTAGGAACTTGAAGAAGAAAAACAGAGACCTCCTGATCTTAGCAATATCCAAAGAAGCAGTAAGTTAAATCACTTCACTTACTTTTCGATATGGCTGTGGTACTATCAGTTGTACAATTTCTTTCAAATTTCAAGTCTTTGAGGCAAAGCGGAGTCCCTCGCAAGGATTATGTTGACCAACTTAAGAGAGATTTAGCTTTGTACTATGGATACAATGATTTCATGATTGAGGTGACCTGCCAATTTCTTAAGTTCTATTTGTGTATTTGCTTTCGTTCATTAAGCTACGTTTTAGTGTAGTAGCTTTACTATTTACTTATAACTGTAATACAGATGTTCAAGGTTGTTGAACTTATGGAACTTATTGTAGCCTTTGAAAAGCCTCGACCAATATGTATACGAACAGACACATTGAAGGTGAATTTTCTTCTTATTGCTTTGCTTTTAGAGCAAGCAGCATATCTAAAATTTGACATTATACTGATCAGTATGTGCTGCTGAGTTGAATAGACACGTAGACGGGATTTGGCTGTTATGCTGCTGAACAGAGGTGTAAATTTGGATCAGCTTATCAAATGGTCAAAGGTGAATTTGCTCGTGTTTATATATTCGGCTTGACCAAACATGTTCTTACATGCAGTATTTAATATGTTGATTTCCACTTGCTGAAATATCCTTATAGGTTGGATTGGTTGTATATGATTCACAAGTACCAATTGGTGCAACTCCTGAGCATATGGCTGGTCATTACATGGTATCTATAGGAAACTTCAATCGAATGCTTTTCAATTGGCAATTTGGTTGTTTCTCACAACTAAATTGTGTATTAACATCTTCAAGGCGCAAGTTCATTTTTGCCTAAAATTGCTCTTGCTCCTCAGGAAAAAGAACTAATAGTAGACATTGCGTAAGTAACCATAAATTCTTTTTGCATGCATACCTTCATGCTTTGTCGATTGTTGCCTGATGTTGTGTATTTATGGAATTTTGTAGTCAGCTTATTCTTTTTCTTTTTCAAAGCTTTATATTTTCTGGAATAAAAACTTACCATAATTATTTTTTCCTATTATCTATCATCTGTTATAACGTTTTAGATAAAAATACAATATCAGAATAGATAACATTGGGCTTGAAATAATGAGATCCATAGAGTTTCCTCCTACTTATCTACTTCTCCAAGTCTATCTTTCAAATTACATTCAATCATAGTAATAAACAAGTTGTTGTAAATAGATTTCATTTTCTCTCTCAAGGATCTTGGCTACATTTTTCATTTATTATTTTTCATGTTGCAGTGCTGCACCTGGTGGAAAAACGATGTATATTGCAGCACTTATGAAAAACAGTGGTATATATTGATTAAATAATTTAGCGAAGGTTCCATTGCATGTTTCTACTTGCCATTCTTATGGATCATAGAATTACTAAAATGGTACTTGACATTTTATTAAAAGGGAGGCCTACTGTTTTCTCAAAGTCATTTTCCAATTTCACAATTGAAACATTTGTTAACTCAAAATTTATGTCACTCCTTTGGTTGTCTTGATAAATGATAACCAAGCTTAGATGAATTTATGTAAGCCATGCATAACATATATTTTTGATATGTGTAGATTGTGTACAGTATAATAACATAAAACACATCATTTTGCAATTTATAGAGTTTAACCACATTGTTCTCTCATTTGATAATGCCATAACCTAAAAAGGGCTGCAAGTTTTTTTAGTTTGCTTTATTGCACTGAAACTGTTGGTTGTGCGTTATTGTGAGTAGTATTCATTGCTTTGTTGTGTTTCCTCCTCTTTCTTCATAACTAGGTATTGTTTATGCAAATGAGATGAAATAGCCAAGACTTAAATCACTTGCTGCTAATTTACAACGCATGGGAGTGACAAATACCATCGTTTCTAACTACGATGGGAGAGAGGTTAGAGCTTCTCTTGCTTTGTTGAAAATATTGAGCTTATGTCAACTGAACATTTATGTTTGTCAGCATAAAAATATTGCTAAAAATAACAAAGAAGCAGCAATGCAGTAACACCCCCAACCCCCATCCCGGTGCATTTTCTCCATTGAAATTCTTTTGCATTTTTTCAAAATTTATAATCTACTTATAACAAAAGTTAATCACGAATAAATACTATTCTTGGTGGGATCTTAATTTGTTTGTTTGATGCAGTACCCCATACCAAATTTTCATGTCAGTTACTCTCTATTTTTCTTTTCAAAACTTTAATATGTTTTTTTCCTAATGTGAAAAACCATTGCAGCTACCCAAAGTTATAGGTCAAAACTCAGTTGATAGGGTGTTATTGGATGCTCCTTGCAGTGGCACCCGGGTATGGTTTAGAGTTAATGTATATAGGAATGTTTTTTTCTTTAATTTCCTCTCTTTTTGTCTAGACACTTGTTATCTGTACTTTGCAATGCAGGTCATATCTAAGGATGAGTCAGTGAAGGTTTCTAAAACTGCCGAGGACATATAGAAGAGTGCTCATTTGCAGAAGGCATGAAATTATTTTTTTGTCACATGTTTTGGAAGGAAATTTATCTAGTATTTTAAATCTATAACTTATTCTTGGTGTTTCTATGAAACCGTTTTGAAAGTATGCCTAGAGAGACCCACAACATGGTCAAAAACAATTTTAATTTGTCAGGTGTGCAGGAATTGTTCCTTGCTGCAATTGATATGGTGGATGCTAATTCAAAAACTGGGGAATATGTTGTCTACTCAACCTGCTCCATTCTGATTGATGAGGTATGCCGCAACATGTGGCAACCCACCCACAGTTAAATTATACTCCCTCCGTCCATTTTTAATGTTCGGACTTTGACTTGGCACGGAGATTAAGAAAGGTTAAATTTTACATTGACTTTCCAATTCTGCCCTCTCCACTTTCCTGCTCCACTCTACGGCCACCCACTCCCTCAATGTCAGATCCGACATCTTCCATCGCCGGCATAGCCCCGCCGCCCAACCCTGTCATCCAAAATCATAGGTTCTGGCAATCCATAGCAGAAAAGGATGGAAAAAAAAGATGAAGAAGACTTGAAGAAGAAGATCCTTCACAGATCTGAATAATATTTCATATATCTGGGCAAATTTTGAATAATTCGAAGAAGAAAATGAAGAATCCGAAGAAGAAGACAAAGAATCCGAAGGAGAAGATGAAGAATCCGAAGGTGAAGATAGAGAATCTGAAGAAGAAGACGAAGAATCCGAAGGAGAGAATAGAGAATCCGAAGAAGAAGAATATGAAGAATAAGAAGAGGAATCCGAAGAAGAACAAGAATCCGAAGAAGAACAAGAAGAGGAAGAAGAAGAAGGAAGAAGAGAAGAGAAAAGAAGAAGGGAAGAGAGAGAAGAGGAAGACATCTTATACAGAGCAAAAAAAGGACTGAAGTGGAGAAGGAAAGAAGAAAGAATAAAGAAGAAGAAAAGAGAAGAAAAAAGAAGAAAAAAAGGTTGGGTGGGGTTGGGGTGGAGGGTGGAGGAAATGAAAAAAAAGGAGGATAGAAATAAAGTAAGGGTAATTAGGTCATTTGATATAAAAAAGATTACCAAAAAAGGAAACACGAACATTATTTATGGACGGACTAAAAAGGAAAGTACGAACATTAAACATTAAAAATGGACGGAGGGAGTAATTTTACTCTTCACTCTACAAAGCAACATACTCATAAACATAAGGATAAAATGGTAATTTTGTAGAGCATATTAAATTTTTTTGACAGCTTGTAGATCATATTAATTGATGTGACATTTCTCTAAAAAAAAATCTTTTTGTGTCGAATTTGGAATTTTGCAAAATGAAGCAGTTATACACTATGCACATAAGAAGAGAAATGTGAAACTTGTCCCATGTGGTCTTGATTTTGGCCAACCAAGGACAGGGTATAATCGCTCTCTAGTTGTGTATTTACTAGAAAGCGTACTTCAATAGCTGATGTGATTTTGCTCTGTGTTACAGACTTGTTAACTTTAGGCAGCACCGATTTCATCCATCTTTAGACAAGACACGATTCTATCCTCATGTCCACAACATGGATGTGTTTTTTGTTACAAAAGGTGGGTCGGTTGATTGTGTGATGAAGATTTATGATTACACTTGCATATATTGCGCCAAAAGGTACACTATGCAGAGAACACTTTGCATTGACTTTTAAATTTGATTACAATCTGCATAGACTTTTAAAGCCTTTGTTGCATACTGCTCCTTACTTAGTACTTGTAGCATTTGAGTCATCTATCCACCATGATTTGCATCAACTCACTCTCCAATATCTGGATTTGCCCTCTGCCATATTCTTCTTCTTGACTGTCATATTCTTCTTCAAAGATTTGCTCCCCACCATATTCTTCTTTCAAGAATCTCCCTTTGCCATATTCTTCTTTCAAGATTCTCCCTCTGCCATATTCTTCTTCTTGACTGCATTTGGTCTAAATATATCTTCTGTGCCCAGCTTAAAATTATTTTAGTTGGGTATATATATATGTGTGTGTATGTATATGTATATGTATATGTATATGTATATGTATATGTATATGCACATGCACATGCACATGCACATGCACATGCACATGCACATGCACATGCACATGCATATGCATATGACTCCAACACCTTACGGTGATATGACATGCTTCGGTCAGATGACACAAAGCTCACCACTAGCCACTCTAAAGCTCACCAAAGACAACTACAAAGTTCACCAAATTGTTAGGGCAAAGCTCACCATATTTTTTCAGCACTTTAATTTTTTTTCAAAAAAATAAAATCAAAGGAAGGGGTGCTGGCTGGACTTTGACTGTTCACCGCTAGCATTGACTGCCGCCTGCCACCGTCGCCAATCTTCGGCAGCCAGCACCGTTTGCTGCCCTGCCAGTCGCCGCCGCCACTGATCATCGCCAGTCGCCGCCTCCGGCCGCCCCTGCTGCTTCGCCACCGATGACCGGTGGTTGACTGGTGTTGTTATTTTATTTTTAATTAATTTTTTTAATTTTTAAAATTTAAAAAAAGGTGAGTTTTGGGGTTCAAAATGGTGAACTTTGCTTTATTTTCAGGCATAGTTATGAATGGCGTTCACCATGGTCGCCTATGGTGCCTATGGCGCTGTGGCGAGGCTGAAACGCCTGAATTGGGTCGTGCATGGCGTTATTCTTGAGGCGAGAAAAGGCGGTCGCCATTCTAACAGTCGCCTATGGCGTGTGGCGTGCGCTAAAGTCGCCAGTCAGATCTGGCGTTAATTAAAAGTTAATTGGGCTTAAGCTCATTTGAAATTAAATAATTGGATCCATTACCCTTAAGTAGGTTTACTATTACCTTAATCGATCGATGCCATCCTCTTCTAATCTTCCATCTCTCATCGCCGATATACTCCCTGCCAAAGTCGATTCTCCTCCCTCTCCGAAACTCTGAAGTCTGCGTTGCTAAATCGGAAGTCAACCTCCCAGTTCTTCAACCTCTGAGCAGGTATTCAGGTATATTGTGTAACAGCTTTCTCCTAAACCCAAATGGAAGGCACTTCCTCCACTGGCTCCACAAGAAATAGAAATGATCCCGCTTGGAAATATGTTCGGTTAGAAAATCCAAAAAATACGAATAATACTATATGTATTTTTTTGTGATCAACGCTACACCGGAGGAATTAGTAGAGCAAAGCGACATATAGTTGGTGGGTATACGGATGTAAGGGCGTGCGACAAAGTGTCTGATAGTGTGAAGGAGGAGATTAGTAATTTTATGGCTGAGAAGAAGAAGACAAGAGAAAACATTGTGCTGGACCAAGAAGTTCAACGACAACGGTTTCGTGAAGAGGCTTTGATGAGTTATGGAGATGAATCAGAGGACGACGACGAAACTGTTGACTTGGCTAAATCCAAAAAACCAAAATTGAACAAGAAGGGTCCCATGGATATGTTTGTTAGTCATACTCGGCAACATAGCGCAAAGACAATGAACAAACAAAAGGATTTAAATGAAGAAGCACTTAAAGAATTACGAAGCCGAGCATGTTCTGCAATAGAACGCTGGATGTGCGATGCTGCCATTCCTTTTAATGCGGTAAATTATGAAAGCTTTCAAGAAATGATTGATGCAATTGGAAAGCATGGTCCTGGCATGAAAGCTCCATCCTTTCATGAGGTTAGAGTTCCTTTACTTAAAAAAGAAGTTGGCCTTGTGAATAATGCATTGGATGACCATAAAAAAGAATGGGCGAAACATGGGTGCTCTATTATGTCAGATGGGTGGAAAGATAACAGGGAGAGGACATTGGTTAACTTTTTAGTTAATTGTCCCAAGGGCAGTGTGTTTGTTAAATCCATTGATGCTTCTGAGCATACTAAGTCAGGTGAAAAGATTTTCGAACTTCTTAGCGAATTTGTGGAAAAGATTGGTCCACAAAATGTGGTACAAGTGATCACTGACAATGCTGCAAACATGAAGTACGCAGGTAACGTAGCAGAATTGAATCCATATATATATTTAAAGGTTAAATTTTTTTAGGTTTATTTACATTGAAATTAATTTTATTTTCTTTGATTTGAAATTATAGGAAGGTTGTTGATGACAAAATATCCGAATTTGTTTTGGACGCCATGTGCTGCTCATTGTCTGGACTTGATGTTGGAGGACATATTCAAAGAGGGAGATATTCGTCAAGTTTACATGAAAGCATTGAAGATTAACAGTTATATTTATGCTCGCCCAGGTCTTGTGAATTTGATGAGAAAATTCACAAAAATGGATTTAGTGCGACCAGGTGTTACACGTTTTGCCACTGCAGCCCTCACTCTTGGAAGGTATCACTTGTTAAGAAAAGAGTTGAGAACTTTATTTGCTTCAGAAGCGTGGACAAAAAGCAAATGGGCGAAGGAGCAAAAAGGTGTTCAGTCACAAAAGACTATTTTCACAGAGTCCTTTTGGCGAGGAGTTTTGAAATCTCTTAAGGTTTCAACTCCACTTCTTAAAGTTCTTCGTCTAGTTGATGGCGAGACCAAGCCTCCAATGGGTTATATTTATGATGCAATGAAGAGAGCAAAGGAGAGTATTACAAAGAGCTTTGGAGGTCATGAGGAAAGATACGAACGTTTCTTTGATATAATTGATCATAGGTGGGGGATTCAACTCAACCACCCTCTACATGCAGCTGGTCATGTCTTGAACCCAGACTATTTTTACTCTGATCCATTGATGGAAAAAAATGAAAAGTTAATGGATGGGTTCTACAAATGTCTTGATACGTTGGTGCCAGATATTTCGATGCAAGACACGATTACCAATGACCTCATACTTTATAGGAAAGCAGAGGGCACATTGGGATTTAATGTTGCCAAACAACAAAGAAATACGAAACCAGCAGGTACGTAATATTTCAAAGGTCTACGATCAATTTGTGTCTACTCCTTATGAAGTATATACACTTTTACTTTTGATGTTTTGCAGTGGAGTGGTGGAGAGCATATGGAGGTAGTGTACCTGTTCTGCAAGACTTCGCTATCAAGGTCCTCAGCTTAACTTGTAGTGCATCTGGTTGTGAGAGAAATTGGAGTTTTTTTGAACATGTGAGTAGTCAAGAAACAAATCCTAATTTCTTGATATCTAGTGTATGTGATTTAACAACTCATACCTATAAGTCTAACATGGCAGGTGCATAGCAAGAAGAGAAATAGATTGGACCAAGCTAGGTTGAATGACTTGGTATTTGTCAAGTATAACAGAGCTCTTATGAGGCGCCACAAAATGCGGGATGTGATCGATCCGATAATATTGACAACCATAGATGATTGTAACGAGTGGTTGCTAGGTGAGGAATGCTCAGAGGAGACCATTAATGAAATACCCGTCCGTGATGTATCTAGAGCATCTGGAGCTGAAGAGCCGATCTACTATACCCGAAGGCAAGGAAAGAATGGTTCAAGTGCTTCCACAGATGCTACTCCACAAACACATTCGAAAAGACCTCTCAACACGCGACAACTTATTGATGAGGATGATGATGATGTTGAGGATGAAGATTATGGAGAAGAATGTGAACTCGTTGGTGCAAGCAGTACACCAGATGATGATGCTTTGGTTTTGAGTGAGGAGGAATGGGAAGATTATGATTAAGTTTTCTAGATCACTACTATATTTTCTAATGTTTTATGCCTAATAACTTTATAATGTTTGTTTTCTAGTACCAACAAGATGTTTTGTTTTTCTTTGACAATTATATACTGTTTAATACTTTTTCATACGCCATGCATTATATATATATATATATATATATATATATATATATATATATATATATATATATATATATATATCTATGTATGTATGTATGTATGTATGTATGTATGTATGTATGTATGTATGTATATGTATGTATATGTTCGCTTTTTTTGGTTCGCCATTTGACCGCCCGCCACTCGCCACGCCACTCGCCACAAAAAACAACCGCTCGCCCGCCACTCGCCACTTGCCATTCATAACTATGTTTTCAGGTGAGTTTTGCATTGTCCATTGGTAAGTTTTGTAGTGTAGTGTGGTGAGCTTTGCGTCATATGACCGAAGCATGTCATGTCACCTTTTGGGGTTCAAAATGGTGAGCTTTGCTTTATTTCCAAGTAAGCTTTGCATTGTCTATTAGTAAGCTTTGTAGTGTAGTGTGGTGAGCTTTGCATCATCTTACCGAAGCATGTCATGTCACCGTAAGATGTTATTTAAAAACATGGCATACATTTTGTGTTTATTTAAAAGATGTTATTTATTTCTGTTCAAAGTAGTAAAATATGCAGAGCTGACTAAGAAACTAAAGTACATGTTTGAACTGAATTTCAACCACTTGTCCTTTAGAAATAGATTAGTAAAAATGATTGAGTGTGTACGTGGTAAATTCTCCCGAGGGTATGTAGTATTAGGAATCTCGGAGGTATTCTGCTCTGATCGAGCATGTCCTCTGATCGCAATAGAGATCATACATGAAAAAAAGAGAACCAAGCTATTGACTATGTGATCTACATAGCTAAAACAATCAAACAATCATGGTCATACCAGTACAAGTGCTGCTCACATTTAGGTGCAAAATCACTTTTCTAAACACTGAATGGAATTTACTCAATCGAACAAGAGATAAGAAAGGAGAGCTGCGAAATTGTTTTGTTCACATTGCAAAGGCAGCAAGGTTCTATCCTACTGAGGTTTTGATTGTTTTGATCGAGAGAAACAAATTGATAAGCCAAATCCAACTGAGGTAATTTTTATGTTTAATGGGATAGAACCTTGCAGCCTCAGTTGGATTTGGCTTATCAATTTTCTTCTCTCGATCAAATTGTATTCCAAGACAGTTTTAATATTCTATGGGATAGAACCTTGCTGCCTCTGCAATGTGAACAAAACAATTTTGCAGCTCTTCTTTCTTATCTCTTGTTTACTTGAGTAAATTCTATTTAGTATTTGGAAAAATGATTTTGCACTTAAATGTGAGCAACATTTGTACTGGTATGACCATGATTGTTCGAATGTTTTAGCTATGTCGATCACATAGTTAATTCCTTTGAAGCTTCTCCATTGATCGTCTTAGTAGTATGTGAGTTTGTAAAGATTAGACCTTTGCATCAATAGCTTGGTTCTCTTTTTTCCATGTGTGATCTCTATTGCGATCAGTGGACATGCTCATCAGAGCAGTATGCCTCCGAGATTTCTGATACCATATACCCTCGAGAGCATTTACCACGTACACACTCAATCATTTTTACAAATCTATTTCTAAAAGACAAGCGGTTGGAATTCAGTTCAAACATGTACTTTAGTTTTTTAGTTACCTCTGCATATTGTACCATCCTGGACAGAAATAGATAATACAGAATATCATTTAAGTAAACACAAAATATATGTATGTATGTATGTATGTATGTGTGTGTGTCTGTGTGTGTGCACGTGTGTGTGTGTGTCCAACTAAAATAATTTTAAGCTGAGCACAGAAGATGTATTTAGAACAAATGCAATCAAGAAGAAGAATATTGCACAGGGAGAATCTTGGAAGAAGAATATGGTAGAGGGCAAATCCAGATATTGGAGAGTGAGTTGATGCAAATCATGGTGGATAGATGACTCAAATGTTGCAAGTACTAAGTAAGGAGTAGTATGCAACAAAGACTTTAAAAATCTATGCAGAATGTAATCAAATTTAAAAGTCAATGCTAAGTGTTCCCTGTATATATTATTGAAGAACAACCTGCCAAACTTGTAATGGAGTCAAATATTTACTGCATGTTTATCCTCCTCCATTAGAAGAATGTTTCCCTAAGCTATAGAGCTTTACTTTGAAAGTTTTTTTGTCTATAACTAGGCATACAATATTTTATGCAAATTCCTAGAGTCCAGAAGAACATATCATTGTCTTCACAGTTGAATCAATAAACTACAAAATTTGGATTCACAAATAAGCAAATGTTGAGAATACTGTAAAGACTTTGTAGTCTGGTAGTATACAAAATAAGATTTTAAAAAATACATTAAACAGGCATTACTAACTACAATTAAGGTGAAATGACAATGAGTTTCCCATCACGACGTATGGAAGATTTTGCATCACAAAGCTGACAACATACATGTGTTTCTAAATGACATTACAAGCTGAAAATAGAAACAAAATGACGAGATACACTAGTTTCCAAAACATGTATAAGATGACATTACAAACAAGTTGTGACAAAATGACAATTTATCAGAACAAGTTTGTTAATGCATGCTCTATATTCTAGAAAAAACATATGTAATAAAATTCCAATATGCATATTCCCCTGCGAATTACCTGAGAGGAGCCATGGAAATGAAATCCAAGATTGCTAACAACCTTAACATGCTAATGTAAGAGGAGCCAAGGAAATGAATTCCAAGATTGCTAAGAACCCTAATGTAAAAATGAAATCCAAGATTGCTAAGAACCCCAAGAACATCTACAATGGAACGTGTAAAAATAGGTAGGCTATAATTTCGTGTTTGATTTAATTATTATGTGTGTGAATCTAATGAAATCCAATTCATCTTTCTTATGTTTTGTGGTATTTTATTTTGGATGGATGGATCTACATCTCTTTCCGGACATTCTATTATATTCCCTCCGTCTCAATTTAAATTGTCTGTTTTGATTTTTGGGCATATTTAAGGAAAATAAAAAATAGAGTTGATTTTCTGAAATTGACAATACTTTTTAGAAGGGGTGATGATGAATAAGAAGATAAGATGAAGAAGTGTGACTTATTTTAGGGGTAATTTAGGTATTTCATTTTTAAAAGTTTACGAAATCAACTAACAGGCAAGTTATTTTGGGACGAAGAAAAAAGGCAAACATGCAATTTTAAAATGGAACAGAGGGAGTATATACTCTTTTGAAATAATATTTAATATCTCCCCTTTTAGGCAGGAATAAAATCAAAATTAAATTCTAAAATCTACCTAGCCACGCGAATGACTAGTAGTTTTTAAATTATTTCCTTAATACTAGATCCTTCATTCTTTATTTTGACTGGATCCATAAATTTATGTATTAACTAAGTATTTTCTATTACTAGTTTACAAGATGAATTAATTATTGAGATGCCACTCATTAATTGAAAATAATGTTCGGTTTAATCTCCGACCAACGACGGTCTTCAGAATTTAAATTTTATTATAATGGAAAAATAATTTTAAATTTTATAGGATGAGAATTTATAAATAAAACCTAAAGTATAATTTGATAAATTTAAATGTAAACATTTCAGATTATCTAAAGTTATTCAAATAAATATCATGTAAATAAAATATTTAATAAACATTACTTATTTGCTCCCAAGTTTTGAAATTATTATAAGTTATAACGTCGTTTGGGAAATTAGTATAGTTTTTAACAGCATTTTGACACCGTTTTGATTGTCATTAACCAGGAGACTAAACTGTGCATTATTGTCAACAAACAAGTATCATCTTGGTATTTATTCATCTTGAAAACTAATATGGGAAAATACATAATTATTAAGCCTGTGTCATCCAAACTACGTTCATCGGAAGATTTTCCTGCACGAGTCAAGAAAGAAAAAACATGTCTCGGGACACTTTGATTTCTCCAGTGCTTGGGTAGTAAACACGCCATCCCTTCATTCCTTGCAAGTAGCAAAAAAAATCCCAGGTTTGCTTGGTGAAAATTTATCACCATTCCTCTTCAAGTTATGAGCATAAAATTTGCATTCAAAAACCCGAATATGAGTCAAAGAAGGCGTCTTTCCACATGTCTTTTTGTATGGTGTACATAACCCCCCAGCAAAGACGAGGGTATGCGTTTGATCAGATACACAACACAGTCTGTACTCAATCTCTCCAGAACTCAATCGGAAGCGCAACCTCAAATCTCAAAGCCCGACCCACATTTAGCATATGTAGGGAGGTAAAGGGATATTAATCAGATCGGATGTGCCATTACCAGATACTGTTTATTTTTATCGGATATCGAATTCGGATACGAGTCTTAGCAGATACTAAAAATCAAAATTGTTTCTGCATCCGTCAGATATCGATCAGATATTGTATATATTCGTATCTGTTTCCAATTTTCGAAGTTAAATTGAAAAATACTTTAATTACCAATTAAATTAAAGTCAAAATATTATATATTCAATTGTAATTTGTTACAAAGTAATTTCTTCTTATTTTTTGTAATTTATTATATTTTACGACAACTCCAAATGATAAAAAGATATACACTATACACGTACACATACACACACATTTTTATGTGTGTACACTTATATTTTGCATCTAAAAATGTCATATAATTTGATATGTCAATAGAAAAATAAAACATAATCATAAAAAATTAGGAAAAATTATATATAACGGATGGAATATACGGATAAATGGTTAATAACGGATGTCTATGCAGAGCGGATTATAAATAGATCGGATGTATGATTACCAAATCTGTATCCGTTTACCAACCAGATATCCTTAATTAGATTAGGATAACAGCCGCTTTTAACAGATGCAGATATTTTTCGTATAGACGGATACAGATACGGACAGTAATCGAATTTTTGGTTATCCACTTACACTCCGCCCAGTTTAAAAAAAATTAAGGTTTCACGTGCAAGGCTCGAAAAAGACTACGCCTGCACGTGAGGGAGCGTGTTAGATTATAAATAAATGTTCCTGGGCCACAACCACAAGCTTGGGCTTTTGGTTGAGTTGGTTCCTTGAAAAAGGTTTAAAAAACTGTTCACGGGTTCGAAACTCAGCGCTACCCAGTTTAAAAAAAATTAAGGTTTTATGTGCAAGGCTTGAAAAAGACTACGCTGAGGGGGCGTGTTAGAATATAAATAACTGTTATTTGTCGATGTTTGCATTCAACCCTACAATTCTACTGTGGAGTAGGCACACAAGATGTCTCGTGAACAATTCCTTGTTCAAGAAAATATTCGTTCAGACATTCAAATTCTGTACTGTTATTACTACGAACACACTTGACTTTTTCCCGAATTGGCGTTCATCCATGGCACAAAACTATCAAAAAACACTCCAAACCATACGCTTAGAATCAAGCCGATAAACTCAAACACCTCTAGAAAAAATCATCAACAATAATTAAGAACATCATAGAACCATGAAAACTCGGTATCAAACTTATCAAAAGATTGATGAAAGCTTATCAGAAAACTTCCACGAGCTTGTTTAGCACGCAAGCAAATTTCACAACAACTATGACTACTCTTACTTGCTCCAACCTGGGGAACAAGACTCAAAACATGAGAGGAAGGATGTTCGAGCCGCTTATGCCAAAGATCAAAATTACTCTCCTTTGCACTGTACACCATCTTTTTGTTAGGCTCTTAGAAGAAATACAGTCCTCTTCTCTGCTCACCTATATCAAACGTTGTCTTTAAACATAGGTCCTTCCATAGGCACCCGTTGTTGGCAGAGCGTGCCTCACAATTTAGTTCCCTTGCTAATTATGACCCAGAGATCAGATGGCAACTCAAAGCGGGAACATATAAAACATTCTGCAGAGTCAATGTTTTTGTCAATTCAATTTTCCCAAATCGAACAGAAATAACTTGTTTTCCATTTGGAAAACCAATCTCACATGGTGACACACCCACCACATCATGCAATAATGAAATTTGACTTGTCATATAACTCGATGTGCTAGTATCTAGAGAGTATAATCTAACGTGGTGATACAAGAATATCTAAAAGTTTCACACTAGAGACAGATGGTGATAGGGAAAAAGCATGATGAACAATGTTCTACTGTTCTAGAGTTAAATCATCAAAATTGGGCAATAGAGAGGACCCACTCTCATGATTGTCACTTTCTTCGAACGAATACACCTTCCTTGGTTGTTCATCGGTCATGGCGACAACAGAGCGGCGTACGGTAGTGGCGAAGAAAACAGCGGCGGCGGCGAGTCAACAACAACAGCACACGAAGAAACAATCGATGCGAACCGTCTATGTGCTGGGCCGTTCGATGAACCGTCGTAATAATAGCAGAAATAACAACGAAACGATCGATGGATTGAGCCATGCTGGTCGACCGTCGTATCAGCAGTAGCGGAAACCAAACGTAGGAGCCGGACGGCTCAATGTCGATTATCCAACATCTAGGAATTATTTTAGGTTTTAGGCTCCGATACCATGAAAGAATTGTAATCGGGAGAAATTCTCTTGTATTTTTTTTATCACAATATAAACAAAGGCCGTATATATATAGGATCACACAAGTTAGGAACTCTATATGGAAACTAGATACAAAAGGAAATAAATCAATATATACGGTAAACTACTAAAAGAGTAAATACGGGAGTATATGGAAATATATTCCTTCTTTCTTTAAGAGTACATTAGATTTTGAACAAATGTAAAAACATGTGGGGGGAAATACTCAACCTTTAATATCGGTTTATCCTTTTCGAATTCAACCCCATTATTTATTTAAAACAAAGGGTGGAGTAGTCCTTCAAAAAAGGGTAGAGTATAGCGGTAAACATTTCGAGCCCTTTAAAACTCAACTTGTTCTCTCGGATGTTTAGAGATATTATCGATGAAACTTTTTTTACTTTTCATTCTTTCTCTTTTATTGCATACTTTACTAAAAATGAATTTGTACATCTTGTTTAGTAATTATTCATTATCTAGTGTTACGTACACAATAAAAAATTTAAAATTTTTATTACTAGTTTATTACACCGATACTGAGACCCCACGAGTCCAAATCCTCTTACTACGTATATCACATCAAGACCCGCTGGGTAAACAAGTATGGGAGAATTACAATTTTTTAACCGAGACGGGTATGAAATACCGTGGTCTGGCCCGAACACGACCTATTGATGGGCTTATCCGTAAGAAAGCTATATATGAAGAGTCACTCACCACAGTGACTGCATAGGCTGTTTTGTTGGGAATATTTTCAAGACTAATCATGTTTTCATCAACTCATTCTTATTACTTGTTACTTATTTTATTGAATAAGATTAGATTAGAAATATTTTAAAATATAACTACAATCAGATCAGGTGAGGAGAACGTGGCCTAAAAGTTTGTTTTCTTTAACTTATTTATATTACTTATTCTTAATTCTTATTAGAATCAGATCAGACTTGAATAAGTCTGATGAGAAATATGCAGTACGTAGCTTTAAATATAACCTAAATTAGATAAAAACAAATCAGATTAGACTAGACCAAATCAAATTAGACTCGACCAGAATTTATTGTAATCAGACCAAGAGAACGTACGTACTCTAAATGAATACCTCTATATTTTAAATGATTTTTCAAAATCCTAATTAAATACCTGCTGACTTTTAAAATCCAAAAAAATCCAACAGATTCTTGATTGAATACACCGTAGCTAAACGTATTTGTTTTTAATAAATACTACGGGTAATTTAGTTGGGGATATTTTCCACGCTATTATAATAATTTAGATGATTTTTCTTTCATCAAATCCTATCTCTCCATGCACTTTTTTTTGGAACACATACATACACTTAAATGAATTTTTATTTTGATTATAAATTTTTTTCTATATCTCCTTATTATTTTGATTAAAAAATATCTTGCCCAAACTTTGAGTATTTCTACATCTCCTTATTATTTTTATACTTCAATTAATTTAGTCATTATGTATAGTTTTTTATGATGTGTTTATTTGTTTATGGGAAATTGTTGATTTTGTAGTGTATGACTATCTTCATTTAATAAAATATTTCAACTTTAGAAAAACAAAGAGATTTAAAAATATGTAATTTTAGAGTTATTTTTCAATTTTATATTTATTTTATACCCCATAATAGAGTAGGATACAAATATAAAATATGATGAGTAGACTAATACTATCTTCCTCCTAAAAAGATGTTCCCTCTTTGACGTTTAGAAAATTTAAGGGAGGAATTTTTTGTATTGAGTTTCCTAAATTACCCATTACCACACTACTGTCGCTAATTCCTTCTTCATTCCAATATCTGTACCACACAAAACCTTCATAGTTCGGAGAACGCCGTGCTGTAGGTCTGACTGCACCCGGATGATTCGTTGTGCTGATTGCAGGAGAACCATACAACCTTAGACTTCTACGCTAGTGCTTAAAACTCCGAGATGCGTTGAGATATAAGAAAGTGATGAAGAAGTTAGAGTTTACACAAATTCACTAAAGTCAAAATATAGTGATGGAGAGTTCAGCCTATTATTCTTCAAACGTTACCAAATTCTCTAAAATATATAGAGGGAAAGGGGCACTCGTGGGTACTACCCATGCTCCGGCCAATCATGCACTATCGTGTCATTTCTACCATTCAGTATCCACAAACTATAACCACAAGGATCCTAAATTTTTTTTTAAATTTAAAAATAAATTAAAGAATTGAATGTAACCCATCATGCTATAACTTTGATAGATATTTGCATAGTAAAGTTTTGCCTCGTGGCATCCTACCCACATGGGTGGTGGTGGGTTTGCCTAGTGGTTTGGAAGCCATGAAGCTTACTCATATTAGTGCCTCGTCCTCTCTTGGTCCCACAAACATCTTTATTCAAGACTTCATCTCCCCCTTTTTTGTGCCTTCAGCGAGAAAAACTATACATTTTTGGTGATGGAGCTTTAGTTCCATTTAGTGTCGGTACAGTGTTGTTTTTTGGATGAAGGGGAAAATTTTCAGATCACGGGCAACGGTGACAGTGGGACCCCAATGGTTTTCGTGGTTTTATGGCGAACAAGGTAATAGTGTGGCAACAAAGTTGACAATTAGACAGGGAATGTGGCAGTGTTCTGGTGGGTATTGTGGGGGAGAGGATGGCAATATGGCAGCGACAAAGTTGTCAATGTGGCGGCAAAGGGTGGTAGTTTGGCAGCGGATTTGGCAATGTGATGGTAGTCGTGGTGTCAGCGGAGTACCACAATGTGAAAGTGTTAATATTAAAAAGAGTAAACTTTTCACTTTATTATAAAAAATAAATATTTATATCTTTAAAACTTAAGACTCGTATTTATGTATTTGATGACATATTTTACTCTTATATTTCTCTTTAGAGTTAAGTGCACCGTTTACCCCCGAATTCTTTGAAAATTGCATGGTTTACCCCCGAACATTAAAAAGTGCACCAAATACCCCTGAATTCTTCAGAAATTGCACGGTTTACCCCTGAACAATAAAAATTGCACCAAATACCCCTGAACTTTTCGAAAATTGTAAGGTTTACTCCTGAACATTTAAATAAAGATGACAATTTTGGGTAAAGATATTTTGGAAAATTCACAAGGGTTAGATGAATGATATTCACAATTCTTGTGCGTGGAAGCAACGCCCTCTCTATCTAATAGTTTACGACCAATGATGCAACGTTTTAATTTGTTCAAGGGTATTTGGTGCATTTTTAGTCTGCAGGGGTAAATCGTGCAATTTTCGAAGAGTTCAAGGGTAATCGATGCACTTTTTAAAATTCAGGGGTAAAACATGCAATTTTTAAAGAGTACGGGGGTAAACTGTGCACTTAACTCTTTCTCTTTATCATATTTGGTTTATCCCAAATATTCTTGTTGCATTTTATAATCTATAAAGAAGATGAAATTGAACTTCTCTTCTAACTTGAGTGGTATGAAGGGTCTCCTCTTCATTGTAGTATAAGCTCCTACTATATTCTCTTTGGAGACACACATAAGAAATAACCGGAGAGAAAGAGAAGTTCTGGTTTTGCTGCCATTTTTCAAGTTAATTCAATCACACCCCTGAGCCAAAAATTAGTGAATTTGGCTCCATCGGAGATGATAGAAATTAAAAGCCCATAGTAGTCCGTGATGGTTCATACGAGAGCTTGTATTTTTTTTTGGTGACATTTAAATATTATTGAAATCCAGGTGCAAAGAATAAATGGGCATATCGAGTCAACAACAAACATAGGCACGTAGGCCTTGTAACATAGGTCAAGGTGGCAAATCAAGAAACCAAAGGCTTACAAGCCAGTAGCAGAACGAAGACATCCAAGACCAAACATTAATATGATGTTCAAAACCAAAACACAATGACCAAAGCATAAGCACAATGTCCAAAACTAAAATACTAGGCCAAAAGCAGCATTGAAAACACCAATTGTTAAAGCTAAGTGCCCAAAGGATGACCAGCCAAAGCCCACGAGAAAATAAGGATCAAACACAATCAAAAGCTAACCCCAAAAACCATGTGCAAAATTAAGTACTAGTATTATGAACCAAACCCTGAAGCCAAAACTAGTGGTCAAAGCCGCAGCCCAGAGATACCAAAGCACAACGTCCAAAACACAATCTAAAGTACAACACAGGCACAAGTCAAAGCAATTTCATTGTGGTTGGAGCATACAAATATACCATATACGATCTGAGTCATGCTCAAAGTCCAAATGCTACGAGGATTGGCCATCGAAACCCCAATAGCAGAAAGAGGCACCCTCGCGGGTTTTTTCACTTTTACTCTCCGCCCCCAGTCTATTTGTCCAGTTTGACTTTTCCAAGTCAAACTGGACAAATTTTGAGGTTCAATCAAATAAAAATCGCAATCTATTTTAACATAAAAATGACTTTATTGGATTCATGGTATTGAGAACTTTCAAAATTGTATTTCATTATGCTAATATATAATATAAATTTAGAGTAATTGGACTTCAAAATTTGTTCAGTTTGACTCGAAAAAGTCAAACTGGACAAATACACTAGGATAGAGGTAATATTATTTATTTATTAAAAGTCAAATGATGGAAAGAAGCAGGATAAGGATTATTTATTTTTATTTTTATTATTTATTTTTTTATTTATTTTTTAGAAGTTAAATGATGGTAATTGGTAAGATAAGGATATCATTCTACAGTCATCATTCATTGCGCCATAAGCGAAGAAGCCCTGTTTCTCTCTGCTCTCGCCCTTACCGGAAAGTAAAATCCCGCCGAGATCCTCATCGCCGGCGGCCGTTGCAAGCATGTCCTCATCCCTTCTTCACCAGACCTCTCTAACGACTCTTCGCGCTTCTTCATCCTTCAAACCCCAGCGGAGGACTCTCAGCTGCAATTTCGCAACTCCCGCCAAAATCTCCGCCTCCCCCAACCCAGACGACGGTGGCGATGACGGGGAACGGCCTTTCAGGTACGATTCTCCGATTCCCTATCCTAATACCCGTTTGGCAAAGTTTGATTTCACTGATATGACTTAAATTCGGCTGGAAAAGCATTTGGCTTGGCTGCCAAACAGAGCCTTAATGTCTTTCTCTTTATCTTCCATTGAGTTATTCTCTTTAACTGGTTTGGAATACTAATTGCTTGTGAAATACTTGAAGGAAAAGTGAGAATAAGCTTGCGAAATTGGCTGTGGTTGCGCTGGCTGCAGGGGTGCTGACCATGGCTTCAGTAGACCCTGCATCCGCTGCTAAGAGCGGCGGGAGAGTTGGGGGTCAGTCCTTCCGTTCGTCGCCTTCTGCGCCGGGTGCTTCAGCTCCAAGGATCAATAATTCCAGGTCTATTAGCTTGTCTCCTTTATTCTACCCCCAAATTTGTTGTTGATGGAATAATACTCTCCCAGGGCTAAAGTTGGGCGCTATCCAAGAAGAAGACCCAAGATACTAACCCTAGAAATAGTGTTCCCATTAGCCTATAAAAGGGCTTGTTACTAGGAAGGAAGAAGAGGCCTCAAGATCATCTTCTTCTTCCTATATAGATCGACTTTCATGCTCCCAAATATATGAATGACATGGTACGACTAGAAAAACACGTAGTTTTTGTTGTTTTGGTTTCCACGGAAATATCCTTGTGGTCACTTATGATTATTTGTCAGGATTAGGTTCAATTTGGATGGGGTATAAGGAAGGGTAATGTAGAGTAAACAAACAGGGAGGGAACCAAGGGATGCATTAGAAAATCGAATAGAGAACCTTAAAAATTAATCGGGACATTCCTTTATGAGACTAGGTTCTAGTGGATGGGGTGTAAGAAGGGGTAATGGAGAGTAACGACTTCTTACATAGGAGTTTTTTTTTTCGGAGAGTGAGGGTGATGAAGAGCAACTGTTACTCTTCTTCATTTCATATCATCCATGAAGGGGTGTAAGCAAGAGTAGAGGTTAGAGACAACTAAAAAAATGTTTATTTACATTTTTACCTTTATGAGTAATTGACAGTTACTGTCCTTTTGTTGGCAATGCATTTGGCAATTGAACATTGTATGCATAGAGAAATGTATCTATCGTTTCGCGCTGCACAAAACCAAACATGCCAATTGCCCACTATATCTCCTCCCTCAAGAGTACGGACGATGTATTAGTCAACAAACCAAATCTTATATGGTTGTGACACAAATTTGTTTTGTGCAAAGTACAAACAAACATCTGCTTTAGCTTGCTCAACTTCACAGTTTCATTATTTATAATTTCGCAGGACCAATGTATACATTAACCCACCAGTTGCTCCTCCTCTAGTCGGTGGATATGGGTATAGCATGCCGTTCTATGGTGGCGGGTGGGGCTGGTCGCCATTCTCATTCTTTGCTCCCGGACCGAGTGTTGCAATAGGCGTTGGCGGCGGTTTTGACACATTGGCCCTCTTTGTGTTCATTGGTGCAGGCGCTGCGGTTGTTAGGAGATTACTAGGGGGGTCAAGAGGTGAAAATGATGATGATGATGATTACTAGTCTTAAGAATAAAAATGTTGTATAGACTTCGTACTTACATTGATGAATGTATACATATATCACCATAAAATTTATATTTAAAAAAAAACGTTACAACTTGCGGAAGAATTTTAGTGCTACTACTAGTATTATTCATTGGGTTTTTGCCACAAAGAGTGGACACTAACACATTGTTTGGATGATAAGAAAATGGGAGGAAAGAAAATACAAGGTGAGAAAATGAATATTCAAAGCATTTTCTATTATTTGTTTTGGTGAGAAAGTGTAGGAAAGAAAATTACCAATGAAAAGTATTCTCTCCAATATAGGGGAGAAAATTGCATCTCCTCCCACCACAAGTTTTTTCTAATTATTTTCTCTCCATTTTTCTTTCTTCCCATTCTAACAAAGAGTAAGACCATGTCTGGTAAAGAGTTGACTTCTTGACAATTAGTTTCCTCAGCATGAATTAATTGTAGGCATAATTTTCAGAAGATTATTGAACTGAAAAAATTGACAAACATGGAGTGAATTAACAACCATTAAAAGCCGGGCATGGGCTGAAATTTAAAAGCTACGTATAGATGACAATGAGATTTGTGAAAAAGCTAATCTCAACTTGGTTCAACCATTTGTTTATTCGCAACATAAAAAAAAAAAGCTTTATTACATGACAAGATTATTTCCCCAAAAAAAGGATTCGAATTTGCCATAAAATATTGCAAACAAACGCATTAGAAATCCAAGAAAAATACATGAGATCACAACTTACTGAAACTTGGTGCATTGCATATATCTATATACTCCGTATATAAGAGAGAGAGAAGAAGACAAGACACAGTAAAAACTTGTTAACTAAGCAAGGACGCGTTTTTGTGTTGCGAAATTACAGTAAATCTAGTTTGCTTGAATCGTCATTATCGAAGTGCCTGCTTTGCAACTGCTTGTGAAGCTGGCTGGCAAATTGTGGAAACTAAATTTAAAGGGTATAGTGCTGTTGAATGGTTTCAATGTCCAATCCTTTGAGCTTCACCACCGACTCAACATGACCTTTGAGCGTATGAAGCTCCCTTAGCCTGCAAAAAAAAAAATAAATAACGTAAACAATAGTCAACAACAAGAAACATAGGTAAGGGGATTCCAGGTTTTTTTTGGTAAAAATCGTGTTTTTCACAATTTTCTAAACAAAATTGTTGGACCTTGCTACCCATTTATTATGTCTGTGAGAGCAAAAATGAGTGTAAAAACTTGGGACTATATATTTTAGGGCGCCCTAGCATGACTCATGCCAAATGAACCATGACCGCGTTTAAAAGTTGGTTCAAATGAAAATGTGCTAAGTGTTCACAACACCATACCTGGCCACTTCGGCTCGACGCTTTGCCTGCTCTGCAATTTCTGACAGCTCTCGGTAGCTGTTCTTTTCGGTAAAGAGATTCGAAGACTCGGGTGGTTGAAGTCCATGTAAAGTCCTTTGGGCATGAGCCCATTGTGCTTCCCTCTCCTCCTTTCCATAGTCCTTCTTTGTGGTAAAGGCAGTCTGTTGTAATCCACATCAAAACACATCAGACTAGGAAAGATCAAAACCCACCAAGGGTGACACCATTAGTGTTCCACTGACATTATATTTCTCATTGACAATTACTGTATGTGCGAAGAACTTGGTGGGTTTCTAGCATTTTTGTTGTCTTTTTCTTCTTTAAATTTAAACTCTAGAGGATGTATTTATCATACCTTGTTCTCTAGCAAGTTCAGCCATGCCTTTCCACTCAAGGCATAACGAGTGGCAAACTTCAACACGTCGAGTGGGAAGTAAGTAACAACGCTGTAAAGCCAAATGACACCAGCCCATCCCCATCCACAACCCTTGATCCTCGCGAATCCCCAGTCAGCCCACACAGCTATTGCTGTCGCAACCTGCACATTGAGTAGAGGGTCTCAAAGCTGAACTTTTTTTTGGTTTTTTGTTTTTTCATGCATGCACTAGTAAGTGTTCTTTAGGGCTTGTTTGGAAACAGAAAAAGTATTTACCAGCTGGGCAGCCAAAAATGCAAAGAGCAACAGATATCCAGGGCGTTCAAGGAAAGAAAAGCTGCGGGATCTGGTTACAAAGATGAGAGCTTGGCTCACTATACTGACTTGGAGGTATAGGGCCGCCATCATTTCCTTGTCGTTATGCCTGAGTGATCTCACCCCAAATTTGTCCTGTCAACAACAAACAGTAAATGCAAAATCCATTACATTTATACGCAAATAAACTTTTTTTTTCAAGAAAAATAAGTTTTTTTGAAACAAATGGAGCCTAATGCATATCAAGAAAACCACATAATTTCTTACGGAGAAGAAGTCAGTGTCATGTATGAGCCAGAAGAAAACAACTGTCATCAAAGCCAAATACCCTCCAAGAACAATGCCGGTGGCAAAAATCTCTTTCAGTTTCCAGCTATCTGGCAATGGAGAGGGTTTTACTCTATCCTTTGAGATGGTCATGATGGTCCCTGTAAAGAAAAAAATGATAACACGATGAGCTCATATGTGAGAGAAAGAGGATTAAGTAAAAAGGATTTAGGCTGTTATGATGGTTTACCATCATTCAAAATGGCTATGATAAGAACCATAAATGCAGAGAAGTCATATTTCCATATCAACGCGATAAACATGAAACCAAACTGCAAAACACACAAAAGGGCACCGTTAAGTTGGGATAATTACCCCAAAAAAAGGATACTAATAATAATTCTTGCAATGCAGATATTCTGCTTACCACAATACGTATTGTGATGGAAACTGCATAGATCTGTTCAAACCAACCAAAAATAATTGAAATCAGTTAGGTACTAAATGTTAGTAGCAGAAATCGTCTACTTTCTCCCCCACATCACAAATGTGCCCCCCTCCCCACCCAGCCACTGAGATGTGCGGTGAGACATGAGAGTGGGACCCGGTTTTCATATCGTAAAAAGATGTAGTTTGAAACAAGAGCTTACGGTATAGTTCTTCATCCTCTGGAAAATGGCCCTACTAGTTAAAACAGCACTGATAATAACACTCAGCCCTGGTTCAGTGAGCACAATATCAGATGCACTCCTAGCAGCATCAGTAGCATCAGCAACTGCAATTCCAATATCGGCCTTCTTTAGAGCAGGGGCATCATTCACACCATCTCCTGTCATCCCAACAATGTGTTTCCTCTCTTGCAGTTTCTTCACTATTTCATATTTGTGCTCTGTACATCACACACAAACACAAACACGTCATCTTTCACATTTATTAAGAACAAATAAACATGGGAAATTCAAACAATTACTGGCTTTTCTCTGGTATTATCGGGTTACCAAAAGGGAGAATGAATCAAATGCACAGACCTGGAAACACTCCAGCAAAACCATCAGCCTTTTCAATCAGTTCCTCCACTGGAAGAGCAGCAATGGAAGCATCTTTATCTTGGCCAAGTAAAGAAGAAGACGGGTACATGTTTGTTCCCATCCCAAGTCTACGTCCTGTCTCCTTACCAATCGCAAGTTGATCACCTAAAACATAACCAACAAAAATTTGAATAATGTTGGAGGAAAATAAAAAGATATCAAGACACTAAACAACAAATATGGTAAGAAGAATTATGCACCTGTGATCATTTTGACATTAACACCAAGATTTAAGGCCCTGCGAATAGTTTCAGCGCTGTCATGTCTGGGAGGATCAAAGAGGGGTAGCAACCCAACAAATTGCCATGGGGTTCCTGGGCTCTCTTTCACCTTCTCAGGCACATCCTGTGTAGCCACAGCCAATGACCTAAGCCCACGTTCGGCGTACTTGTCAATGACTGAATGAACCTTTCTTTTGACATCCTCCCGAGCATTGCACAGTTGTAAAATCTAAAAGAGATGAGACCAAGAAGCAGTTGAGTAAGTAACAAATAACATGTTCTTCTTTATAAAGATTTTTCATGTCTTATTAATTGAAGAGAAGAGAAGAAATGAGATGCATACCTGCTCCGGGGCACCTTTACTAACACGGTGCCAATTGCCTTCACTATCAATGTAAGTTAGGGCAGTCCTCTTGTCCACAGGATTGAAGGGTAGGAAATGGATCTCTTTAATACCAGCTCGTGCCTAACAACGAATTAATAATGCTCAGCATAAGAACACCATAAGCTTATGTGGAATCAGAGAGTGAGTTCTTGATGTGACTTGTTTCTCAAGAATTTTTTGTTTTTGTGTGGAGAAGAAGCGTTAACGGGCTAGGAAATCAAATAAGTGTTCTTGATTCTACAGAGCACTTTTGTGTTTACTCAAAAATATGCCCAAAATGGATTTCAAAATTCATAAGGTAGACTAATCATGTAAATTTTATACTAACAAGCAATGATTTTTCCTTCTATTCTAGAGAGATGGAGAATGATACAAATTCAGGCTTATTTTCTTTTTCAATCCTTGTTTTGTTTGAAAAAAGGCTCTACTATCAAGTAAGGGTACAATCTGCATACACACGCCCTCCTCCTCAGACCCAAAAATTTTGGGATTTTACCAAACAAAGGGTTTTTCTTCTTGACAATGAAGGTTAAAAGAGCAATCTAAGAACTAACAAGTTAGAAATACGGAATAGTAAGAAATACCTCCTTGGGATCAGCAAGCATCCCAACCATGGCAGCATCAATGGCATCCTGATTCTCAGTCCTCGAAGCCCTCGCGGCGCAAAGGAGAACAAACTCTTTATCCACACCTTTCGCAAACACCTCAATCAAGTTCTTGTCCACGCTCAGCTTGTTCAGAGTCAGTGTCCCAGTCTTATCACTGCACAGCACGTCCATTCCGGCCATCTCCTCAATCGCAGTCATCCTCTTCGTAATGGCTCCCTGCTGCGACAGCCTGTGGGACCCGATAGCCATCGTGACCGACAGAACCGTCGGCATGGCGATCGGAATCCCGCCGATCAATAGCACGAGGAGATTGTCGATTCCATCCCTGTACTTCCTGTGCTGGATCGGGTACATGACGATGATCTCCGCTAGCATCCCCACCGCGATTGAACAGATGCAGAAATTTCCAATGGCAGTAAGAACCTTCTGGAAGTGGCCAACCTGGTTGGTGCTGTCGACGAGATGCGCCGCCTTTCCAAAGAATGTGTGAACCCCAGTCGCTATAACGACGGCTTCGATCTCTCCTTGCTTGCACGTCGAACCGGAGAAGACTTCGTCACCGGGATACTTCGTCGCCGGGAGAGATTCTCCGGTCAGGGCAGACTGGTCAACCTTTAAAG